CGACGAGCTAAATCTCCCGATGATGAAAAATGAAAGAGATCGATGAAAGATTCTTTTATCTAGCTAGGGTTTGAAGAAGGAAGGAGGTAACTAGATCGTGCTACGATCGTGTTATCTTCTTCCTTCTTCAAAACCTAGCTAGATGACAATTCGCGCAGAACGAATCTTTCATCTTTCGATCTCTCTTTTCATGTACATCTTTGATGGATTTAGATTGCCAGATTCGTGTCTTAAACCTTATTTATTTTCTACTATATTCAAATCTTCTTTTATGATCTTTGATCTAATTATTAGATGTAATCGAATGAATTATAAGTTGTAAAATCGGCATGTGGCAAAGGAAATGTTGTATCTGAAGCAGCCGAACAAAGATGAAAGTTACCAACTTCCAAAACGGTGATTAGTGGCCGTTGGATGCGCCTAAACAGGGATCTGATGGCGCTGGGAGCTTTCACCTTCAAAAGTTTAAGCTTTATAAAACTCGGTCGGTGAGTGGAGTTATCTTCTTTGAATAATTCTTTTCTTTGCTCTCAAAATGCTATAAATTAAATTTATTGATTTTTATTGATTAATCCGAGCATATTGTTATAACCTTTTAGGTTTCGTTTAGAACAATTTTCTCACTATTTTTTAAAGAAAATTTTTAGTTTAAAAATAAAAATTTTAATTTTTGTACTAAAAATCACTTTAAGAAGCATAAAGAAAGCCGTACCGAAGACTTAATTGCTTTACATTCCCTTGCTATTGTATATTTCCACACATTGCAACAGTTTGAGAAGTAGAGCAGTCGAGGGTTGGCGACTAGAATTTTGACATTGTTGAATTTTCGGAGATTTCTTCGTTGAGTTGACAATGGAGGAGTTCTTTCAAGATGGTGAATTCAAATTTATCTGTATCTTTCAAGAGAAGTAAAGCTTGGATTCTAATGCTTGATATCATTCCACACTCGTCGTATTTTTCATTATGGTGAATTCAAATTTATCCGTGGGCAATACTTGGACCTTCCTCGCAAAATTAGCTATTAAAGGTAGAGTAATAAAGAAAAATATAAGGGGAAAGAGAAGGAAGACAAGAGAGTAGAAGAGAATTTTATGATGTTTTATTGCAACAATGTAGATACTTAATTAGGTTACGACAAATAAGTAGTTGTATCCATAGGATGACCGGCTGGGCCCCTATTTATAATTTGGAGTAAATGAAAGATTATATGAAAAAATTAGGTAAGTATATAAATGATATAAAACGACCAAATAAAATATTGCCACAAAAATGAGATATGCTGATTATATCTCTTTAATTATATGAGATATGCATTAATGATTTTCAGATATAATAAAAGTCGACAGTTAACCATTAATTTATTTGGTTTGATTTGATTGACCCATGAGATCGACCTCTTTTAGACTATTGGGTTGACTTAAGTTCTGCACGAGCGCGCAATTGACTCTTGGGTTGACTTGACTTGAGTTCATTTTTTTTATTGAAAAACTGCTTTAAAAAATAATAATAAATCTATCCCAATTGAAGCCTAGGACAGCTTTCTTACTGCTTTTTAAAGCAATTTTTTAGTATAAATTTTTTTAAACTAAAAATTATTGTACTAGAAAATAATTTTAAAAAGTAATAAGAAATATGTCTCAAACAAAACATAAACCTCTTGATGGAGTAAATTATATTATATAATATAATAACCTATATTCAAATGCAAATAAAAATGACACGTGTCAATGCCTCATTTCTTTTTATGATGATAAATCCAAATGCAAACAAAAAAGACATATATCATTCTCTCTCTCTCTCTTTTTCTTCAAGAATAAAATAAATAAAAATTATTATAAAATATTTAAACCTCCATTTAATAATAAAATGCTATGGTAAATGATCCTTATTACTACATTTGACATTCCATTGATCATATGCACTTGAATTTGTGAATATTACATCTTAGGGATTTCATTTGAAGTAAAAAAGAATTAAAAGTACTTGAAATATAGGAGTTTTGAAATTATTGGTATTTGATTTGATATAAAAGTAGAGTAAAAAGTTTGAAGTAATTAAAGTTCATTGTATTTATTTTCGGTGTATTATTGATTTACAAATATATTGTAAATTCTCTGTCATTGCGACAGTCTCCGCCTGCCGGTTGTAGCTCGCTATTGCCGCCTGCCACAGGTCTCCTCCGCCAACGACCACCATCGTCTGCCTTCACTAACAATTGCCACTAACCAATCAACCAATAAGATTGTTGGGCTGAACATAATATTCATTTTACTTCAAGCCAAAAAAGAAGCTACGTACATTCATTTTATATTCATCTAAATAACTCAAAACATTTGAAATGCATCATATTATTTTTTACACTGCTTTCCATTTTATAGTGCATTCATGTTTAGCAGGTCGAACAGCCCCTTAAATCTCATGTTAATGCAGTCCCATCTGTTTATTATTATTATTATTATTATTATTATTATTATTATTATTATTATTATTATTATTATTATTATTATTATTATTATTATTATTATTATTATTATTATTATTATTATTATTATTATTATTATTATTATTATTATTATTATTATTATTATTATTATTATTATTATTATTATTATTATTATTATTATTATTATTATAATTCCTTTTAAAAGACTTGAAAGATCAAAATGATCATTTAATATAATTGGGAATCATTTTGATCCTTCATACAGATTCAATTGATCATTTTGATCTTTTTCTCGTTCTTATTTATATGCTGAAAGTATTAATCGCTTGATTTTGTTTGTTGTTTTTGACTTATTTCCCTCTCCAACAAATCCAGACTCATCTAGAAAGAAAGTCGGAGGTGAATAGCCAGTTTTCATTATAATTTGTGGTGGCGTTTCATTTTCCAGAGCTTGCCATTGAGATTTCTTCCTCATTACATCACCAAAGAGATAACTGGAGCCAACTGTAACACCAGGTTCTGAAGCTCTTCTCATCTATAGATCAATTCACAATATTTTACAGGGCAGAGAGTGCCAAAATTGGCATTTCTGTGATTCTGTAACTTAGTAGATTGTTATATTCCTTCCTTTGTGGAGCAAAGCCATTGCAGTGCCTTCCTAAAGAAGGCCTTAAATGATTTAATTCATTTTAGATTAATTGCCATGTAAATGTATCATTCTCTAAAGGTTTAAAGTAATATCAGCATAAATTGTATTATGTTAGCAGTTGGTTTTCTTAATGTCAGCTTTCAAGAAATGAAGTTCCAATTTTAAGTTTCCAATTAGCACATCATTTACTTCATTAGATGTTTTTCTATGTTACTTTATGATAGCATTGTTGGTGATTTTTGGTGATCTATGTGAAAACATTGATGAATTTGGGCATGATGTGGCTTGGTTTTATTACACATTTAAAATATATCCTTTCAAACAATGTGTTTATAAATAAAATAAGATTTTGTAAAAAATAAATAAACTAATATAGGAAATTTATTACAATAGGGTTTTTATATTATTCGTGTTACAGTCGAGGAGTAAATTTAAGAGATAAAATTTGTAGAAAGTACAATTATTGAAAACATAAGTAAGAGATTAGTTAATTATAACAAATAGAATAAAATCTGTAATAAGGATGGCTGATAAATATGATTCAAAGATCTTTCTCTATTTGAGTTATCAGAATTATCTTCAAAAATTTACTTTCCTTAATTTACTAGAATTTAAATTTATCCGGCCAATCAAATAATAGCGCCCAATATCATATTATTCTTTTGGGAATGCCTTCTATTTAATATTTCAAATTTATAAAATGAGTTTATTAAACGGGTCAATTTAAATTCGAATTTTTCGTATCGGATTGACATAATGGAATATTCTGTGCGAACACCAGATGGAGAGAATCGTCCGGATTTGTTGCCCTTTTACTGTCATTTTGCTGCACTTTTGAAAAAGGGCATTAAAAGGACAACAAATATTCAATTACGAATGTGTTTTTATTATCCTTTTGTTGCGCTTTTACAAAAGGACAGTAAAGGTGAAGCAAATATTCAATTATTTAGTAAATAACTAAATATTTGTTGCCCTTTTATTGTCCTTTTGCAAAAGTGTAATAAAAATAACAGTAAAAGCACAACAAATCTGGACAGTTCTCTCCATCAGATATCCACACAGAATAATTAGTCCAATATTGACACCCCCTACTTAACATTCTCTATACAAAAATAGGTAGAGTTTACTCCCTCCAAAATATGTGAAGTATTGTGCCAAGCAATGTTGAATCAACATCATGTGACCTATTTTCTCAAATTGCCAGTAGAAGCCAAATCCTGCTTAAAATGCAAGGAAAGGCAAATCCTTAGCGTTACCAAACACTTGGCAGCAAATGGCTTTCATGCTTGAAAGCAAAGATGAAGATGAACCAAATTATCTTTTCTCTTTGATTTGGATGTTGGCCTAATTGAACCTTTAGATTGGAGACCTCCCATGTGGAGTTCTGTCTTCTTCTACCTTCCATGATAGCCCACAGCTCTTTTGAACAAAAAAAGTTAGCCACTTATAAATTTTCTAACTCATTTACTCAACTTGTTTTTTAGCATAAATTTTAATTTAATACTTACATGAAATAAACTTTATAAGTTTAAAAATATATTCGTATCACGAATTTAAATTTTTAATTAATGTCACTCTATTTTATATGATTATCATGCATAGAATTAATATGAGTGCATGAAATAAAATATTAAATTTTATAGGATGATGCCGTCGATTATAATCAAATATAAAAGTGATATATTTGATATTAACATTTTATATGATGATAAAAATATAATATTAAAAATTTAAATATTAGATATATAAATAAAATGCAATAAAATGTTATGTAAGTAAATCCCAAAAGTTTTAATATTGGCCACTAATTTTTATCCGTTTACGGGTTTCCCATTACAAATAGTCAAATAGAGTAAAATATAAGTTCCTGAAATGAAAAGTTAAAAAGAGGGTAAATTTCGCGTTTGTAATCCAAACTCGCAAGTCCGCATCGCGCTCAGGCTTTTTGTGGATCGAGGAGTACGCGGAAGCTGTGGTAATCCTTCGCGCCGCGATCCAGTTGCCTGCTTCCTTCTTCAAACCCTAGCTAGACGGCAATTCGTGCAAACGAATCTTTCGTCTTTTTTATCTCTTTCCTTTTTCGTCGTTGGAAGATTTAGCTAGCCGGATTCGTGTCCGAAACCTTCTTTATTTTCTATCATAGTCAGATCTTCTTTTATCGGTCTTTGCTCTAATTATTAGTTGTAATCGAATGAGGTATAAGTTGTAAAATTGGCACGAGGCCAGGGAAATGTTGTATCTGAAGCAGCCGAACAGGGATCTAGGTTGCCAGCGGCCGGAAAGGTGATTGGTGGCCGCTGGATGCGCCTGATCAGGGATCTGATGGCGGCGGGGGATGGCGCCGGGAGCTTTCACCTGCAGAAGTTTAAGCTTTATGAGACTCGATCGGTGAGTTCAGTTATATTTTTTGTATAATTCGTTTGGTTATGCTTCTGTTTGTTTTATCTTCAGCATATGGTTGATGTACTATGTCCTTTTGTTTGATCGGCGTTCTGTAATTTTTGTTTGTTTGTTTGTTTGCTCGTGCTTATTTTGATTGAATCTGATTTCTAATTAGTGCTTGAATGTCTCTCCTCTTTTTTTTTTTCCTTCGACCCTTTGCTCGCCCGAGTTGCTATAGCTGAAAGATCCTTCCCTCATGAGATACTTTTATCCTGTCATTCGAATGGTTATGATAGGTTTTAATCAAGCCATCGCTCGTCTAGATTTTTTTTTATTATTATAATTATTCTTTTACTTTGCAATCTCTCCTCCTGTGAAATTATAAACGCTTGATGATTGTAGAATTGCTAGCTATTAAGTTTTTATTTATTTATTATAGTCAATCCTCTACCTATTTTTATAATGGATGATCATGTGCTTCTTTTGAAGGATATTGTGTGGTAGCTGCTCAATATTTAGTTTGTTTTGCAGTGTTTCTTCTCTTCAGATGATCCATCAATTAAGTTGCTCTATTTATTTTCACACACTTTATTATATATATCAATAGCTTTACTCCTTAGATCATTTTATTCTTTAAATCTTTGTTTTGCTCTCGCTATAATCCTTTTTTTTTTTTTTTTTTACATGCAACAGAAATTTTACATGATTGGATGGGACAAAACTAGAACAATATGGAAAGTTCTATCAATTGACAGACTAGAGCCTTCTGAGCTGAACATTCGAGAGGATCCTACAGTCTACACTGAAAGCGAGTGTGAAGATTTGTTAAACAGAATACATAATGGAAACAGGTCAAGTGGCGGGCTTAGGTTTGTCACACTGTGTTATGGAATCATTGGTGAGTCTTCCTCAAGTTCTTTTCAATTTCATATATTGTAGTTTTACAATAAATTGCAGTTTGTGTAGCACAACATTAACAAGATGTTACTGTTGTAGGTTTTGTGAAGTTCTTGGGACCCTACTACTTGTTGCTTATTACAAAAAGGCGAAAAATTGGCTCCATATGTGGCCATGCTGTCTTTGCTATCTCTAAGAGCGAAATGATTGCAATTCCAAATTCTACTGTGTGGCCCATTATGCCATTTTCTAAGAATGAGAACAGGTCTTTTGTTAATTTCCCCTGTAAATATATATGGGATGTTTCATGGAGGTCGTATTTGTTTCTACTCAGAATGTCATTTTGTCTAGAAGAGACCAAATATTTGCTATGATGTTCTACATACTTGTATCCTCTTTGAACACATAATTCATTTATGAATATCCAATTATGAAGATTTCCAAAGTTTTGGTTGCCCATTTTTGTTCTTACAGGTGGTGAGGGATGTATGTGTCAATTGATTTGTTCTAAACATTATCTCATTTTAGTTGTTTGTATTTTCTGTGATTTAGATTTTATATGTTTGGTTCACATAAAAAACCTATCATGGCGCTATTTATAAATATTATAGTTCACTACAAGCATTTAGGTGTTTTGACGTCCCCTGAATTAGCTAAGGTTGGTGAGTGAGACGCAATTCCCATTTATGTTAGTACAATGTCATGGCGCCTATGCCATATTGGCTACTTTCATCCAGAGGTATATTCGTATACTTTTTTTTTGGCTTGTTATGCTATGTCGATGAAAAGATGTCCAGGGTTATTCAATTATTTCTTTCACAGGGAATCTTTGAAAATTTCTAACTATATTTTGTAAGCTTTGTCATTTCAACTTCTATGTTATTGTATGGAAATTAATCTGCTCTTAATTTTCCATTGATTTCGTAGATACAAGAAGCTTCTTTGCATGGTGGATCTTACAAGGGACTTCTTCTTTAGTTATTCTTTCAATCTAATGCGTAGTCTTCAGAAGAACTTATGTGATGTTGAGTCTGGACACATTCTGTATGAAACAATGTTCGTGTGGAATGAATTCCTAACACGTGAAATTCGCAATCACCTGAAAAGCACATTATGGACAGTGGCACTAGTGTATGGTTTTTTCAAACAGGTATATTATTGATAACTGTTTTGGGATAGTTTGGACAACTAAGAATTTTTTTTTTTCCCTTAAGTTTACAATTGGCATTTGCATTTTTATTACAGGTTTCATTGAAGTTTTTTGCTTTCAGGTTTCCTTGACGTGAAGTTACTTGAATTTTCGTTGATTTAATCATTAATGTCCTTGTACGAACAGATCTTTATTTTTCTTTCAAGTCAGGCATTTGTTGAGTAAAGCCTGTTTTCTCAAGCTCTAAATATGGTCTGAATTTTTAGGATTGAACTTTTGATATAGGAATATATTAGCTGGCCAAATTTGTAGTATCTATAGTATCTTGAATTTCTTCATATCTAATGGTACAGGTTTGAATGCTCGGACATGCTCATAGACATTTGTGCTTGAAATTTACAACTTGTTTGGAGAGAGCACGCACTGAAGTAGCTGCATTAGATTCTTACCTACAACCAGCCTTATTATTTATATGATTTTGACTGTATTTTGCTTCTTTTTTTTTTAATTATTAGTTTGTTTAATTTGTACCTGTTTTACCAAAATTATGAGCTCTTTCTTAATTACTTTTGTGTCCAGGCTAAACTTTCAGTCTCTGGGAAAGATTTTATTTTCACACTTATTGCTAGGCGCTCACGTCATTATGCTGGCACAAGGTTTTCTGTCTTTAATATAAGTTGAAGTGATTTACAATACAACTATTACTTCATTATTGAACTTTTGAAATACTTAACGCTTTTTCATGAAATAGATACTTAAAGCGCGGTGTCAATGAGAAAGGCAGAGTAGCAAATGAAGTTGAAACTGAACAGATTATATTTGATGCAAATTCTAAAATTGTTCCTGCAAAAATAAGTTCTGTTGTACAGATTAGGGGATCCATACCCCTCTTTTGGTCACAGGATAGTTCGTGGCTAAATATGAAACCGGCTATCATTTGTAAGTCTAAGATTTTCATTTGAATGCTATTATAACCAATCATATTGTTTCCCTATTTTGATTTTGAAGCATGATATCTATTTTCAGTGCACAAAGACCAAAACTATGAAGCAACAAGACTTCATTTTGACAATCTTGTCAGGAGATATGAAAATCCAATTATTATTTTCAACCTTATCAAGGTAGATTTATATAATTTTTCATTGCATTGTAAGTTCATATCGCGTATTGAGTCATATAAAAATCTATTCTAATTGGCAGTTCCACACAAGAACTTTCATGATATTTTCATAGTGCCGTTTTATTAATGCTTAGAGCTACTCCCACACAGACATATGAAAGACGGCCTCGCGAATCTATCCTGCGTACAGAATTTGCTAAAGCCATTGATTTCATAAACAGTGATCTCCCAATAGAAAACCATTTGAGATTCTTACATTGGGATCTTAGTAAACATTCTCGGAGGTATTAAATTTAATCATTTCATTTTTTAAAATTTAACTGTTGACAATTTGATGGAATAGTTATTAGACTCTCACCGTGCATTCAACTTACATTAAATTTGACAAGCTGCAGAGCTAAAAATGTGCTCGAGTTATTGGTCAAACTTGGATCAGATGCCTTGGGTTTGACAGGCTTCTTCTATTGTCAAGTGCCTTCTTCTTTAAGATTGGCCGGTCCTTTAAGCTTGCATTTCCTTGTGTAAGTCTTTTAACAATTGGCGCATAACTTTAACTTATTACTATGCATTTCTAGCTATTTTGTTGTTATTGTTCATTGTGTTTAAATAGACTCTACCTATATATATATATTTGTTATAGACTCTACCTATATTATTCCCTCATCAGTTGCTTGTCTTTGTAGATTTACTTTCGTGTTTGTATACATTAAAACATGATGGATCATTAGGATTACTTCAGATGAATACATTCCTGTGAATGTCACTATATAATCATTTGTCTAACCATATTCTTTACTTTGGCCATTCATTGGTAAATACTTTATGCCTTTACTCTTCCATTGATATCCGTAGAAAATTATTACATGTACTTATTTTTTTCATTCAAGTGTTGTTTTATTTTAGGGTGAATTGTATTCAGGCCCCTCATGTTTGAGCTCAATAATGTGTTGTGGATGATGATGAGGAGTAAACACCACAATGACAAAACAAGCAAGAAAGTAAAAGCAGCGAAAAAGTAAATGACATCGGGATTTAACGTGAAAAAATCCAAAATAGGGAAAAAACTATGGAACTACACCACACCAAGAAATCCACTATGAAAATTGGGAGAAATAAGTACATATCTCTCTTCTCTCTCACTCTCTCCTTGCTTCTCTTTTCACATGCACAGTTTTCAATGTCAACATACTCAAAATACAAGAGAAAACCAAGTAAAATAACTCCAAGGGATACAACCCTTTAGAAAAACGAGAAAGAAAACCGTCCAATTCGTCTCGCAGCGCTGCGGCGCTCAAGTTTCTATCTTGCACTGCTGCAGTGCTGTATCTATATCGTTGCGGCGTTTTGTTCTCTGTTGTTCAACATTGGGGCACTTAGGAACGTAGCGCCGGGGCACTCGGGTACGTAGCGCCAGGGTGTTGTACGGAAAAAAAAAATTCATTTGCAAATCACCCAAACCCAAGCAAGGGGTAAACCTCTTGCACCCCCATTGTACACGACAAGCTTTGAGGTCCAAGACAACAAAATAATCAAATTGATCAGTATTCAGCACAATCAGATTCCACACAATGATTGTGCCCCAATGTTTTTGGTCCATATTACCATCGGAAAACTGTAAATAGATTGAGAAAATGAATAAAACATCTTCATCATTAGATTTTTATATCACCAAGGGTCATTTTAGCTATCGTCTATGCCTACTCATCACTAGTGATTGAGGGCTGATAGCTAGTAATGGCTGGGACAACTAGGTGGCCGTGGCACTAGCATGGAATGGCCAGCAACAACAGTGTGGCCAGTACTAATGTAATGGTAGGTCTAGGTGAGCATCTTAGTCATTTACACATGAATTGCTGATAATGTGGATATCCAATGGAAACCCAACATTAATTTCAACTAAAAAAAACATGCAAACTTGAGTAATCCAATCTTCAATTTGCTATGATGAGAAAGCAAAGATTATTTCCTTGATTTTGCTCTTTGAATTAATCTAATGATGAGGCTATCTCCTTTTACATGTCATATACTGCAGGAATGATGGTAATCACAAGAAAAGCAGTGATGCATTCATCACGGGAGATGGATACCAAAAGGATGATAAGGGAAGCTCTGACGTCTCTTCAAGGGATTCATCTCAAAGCAATGTGGATCAATCTTGTTATTTTTCCAAAATGCCCACGCTTCAAAAGGGTGTTCTCCGTACAAATTGTATTGATTGCTTGGATCGAACAAATGTAGCTCAGTATGCCTATGGCTTAGCTGCCCTAGGTCAGCAACTACATGTCTTGGATTTTATTGATGTTCCAATGATTGACTTGGATTCCTCTTTGTCTGATGATGTGATGGACCTCTACGAGAAAATGGGTGACACTCTTTCTTTACAATATGGTGGTTCTGCTGCTCATAACAAGGTATCTTGACGGACAGAATGCTATTTTCATTTTATAACTTATGTAATACTAATTTCTCTGCTTATATTATTTAACAGTATGGGAATTTACATGCATACCACATTTTTTATGTATTTACATATGTAAAATAAATTATTATATTTATTTATGAATTATGGAACACTCAAATATCTAAATCATTTAACAAATATTGCTAATATTAATTTATCTACATTAAAATGCATCTTTTCACACATATAATTGGATTTGATATAGATATTAAAATGTTATATGAGAAAATATAAAATTTTAGATGTTTAATACACAAGAATTGTGTGATAAGTAAATCTCCCTAACAGTATTTACTTGTTTGAATAATATGTCAAACGCCTCTCAGTGAAACTATGATAAATATTACCTTAGTGGAATGAATATCTGTAAAGATGCAATTCAATCATTTCTGAAATATGAAGTATTTTGTTACTGAAGCTCTCTCATGGTGTTGACTTTATTCGTATGCTTGCTTGTTTTGTTTATCATATTCTATGCCATTTAATTGATTTGATTTTACAGAGTTATATGCTGAAAGATTTAACGACCACTATTTACCTTTTTCATTGAGCATTTCATTGTGTTTTGTGCAATTATAGATATTCTGTGAGAGAAGAGGTCAATGGAAGGCAGCCACCCAGTCCCAAGAATTTTTTAGGACTGTTCAAAGATACTATAGTAATACATACATGGATCCATTGAAACAAGATGCCATAAATGTGTATGTTTCTTTCATTTCCACTACTTTCTTTTTTCAATGTGTGGCATTTAGAAATATTTTGCAAGTCATGGTGTTCCAAGCTTGAATGTATGCAGTGTTCATGCTTTTCTTAAATGAACAGGTTTTTAGGGTACTTCCAACCACAAGAAGGTAAAGCAGCACTTTGGGAGCTTGGCTCTGATCAACATTACAATATTGGGAGGCATGTCCCTCCTTTTACGGATGAGAAAACGAGGTAGTGATAACTGAAGTTGTTTTGCAATATCTAACTATACACTTTTATTTATTTTTATAATCTTTTTCTGTGATGTTTCTCCAAACATATTGAGTGCTTCAAAATGTTAGGCGGACTTGCTTTTTAATTTGTCAGCATATAATGCCTTAGTGGCATTGATGTTTCGTTTGGGGCGGCTTTCTTACTGCTTCTTAAAGCAGTTTTCTAGTTCTAGTACAAAAATTAAAAAAAAAATTGTACTATAAAACTATTTTATGAAGCAGTAAGAAAGCCGTCCCAAATGAAACATCAATGTGGTACCTGAATTAAAACTCTCCTTAATAATACCCTTTGCCTCACTAAATGCTTTGTTATGCTTCTCTTAATCTCATTTTCAGTGGGCTTATTTTTCATGTTTATGGGCGCACACCAAAACAGGCTGTTGGTGTTTTTTTATGTAGCGATCAGCTTCATTTGCCGTGCATTACTACCTTCAATACACGTGGATCTTTGAGAAAATGAATATCTATTTTTTTGTCTTTTTCTATATTTAGAATAACCAGCTATATAATTTGTTTTTTAATAGATCATTTATCAAAAGATCCCTTTCCGAGGGAAATATTTTATGTGAGAGCGACACGCCTGGTTCCAGCTCTAACGTGGGAGAGGGAACTCCTCAAAACATGCATACCTCGGTAGATACCAAGGGTCTTTCTGAGTCGACGCCTGAGATTCCAACTTGTGAAAGTGATGTATCCTATTCTAGGTAAGGGTTCTACCCACTGAAGGAAAGCCTGCATTTTTTTTTTAATTTTTTAATTTTTTGGATAATCTTGTTAGTGGACATGTAACTTTGGTCAATTTTCTCATTGTATAATTATATATAGTTTTAAAGCCTCCATATATATATATATATATATATCAAACATTTTATTTCTCTGTAATTCATGTTTTCTGAAAAATTAAGCTGGTCTCTCATTCCATAATTAACCTAACCATTCATTTCTTCTTTTTTGGTAGGTACATTCCCGTGAGCACTCGTAGGATACAATTTGTGGATAGTGAGCATGGTTACTTCCATCAACTTAAATTCGATGAGTCAAGCTTCTCGAATTTTCTAGACCTTGACCACATTTCTTCTTCAGGGAATTCATGTGAAGAGGAATATTATGAAAGGTGATAATCTACTGTTTTGGTTTGCTTTTTTAGCACTCTCAGAATTTGAAGTTTAAATATTTACAATTCTGTCCTTGCTGATTTTGCTTTAGTTAACAAATTACAGGGAGATAGAGGAGGGAAAGGGGTGGGGTGGGGGGTAATAAATGGTTGAATAAGACAAAAAAAAGTACTGTGGTTGAGATCCTTTAATTCCGTTAGGATTGAATCTGAAGAATAATTTGATCAACATTTTAGCCAATAAAGAATTTTGAGCTATAGTTAAACTTTTTTATGATAGTATGGTTTAGGGATTAATTATGGTTGCAATTTTTTTTATTGAATTGTGACTATGTTTGGCACAATATTTTGAAGATTATGATGAATAAAATTGTAGGACTTAAGACTAAACGTGATTAGAAATTATTTTGGTGGCCGTTTAGTTAGGAGTGATTTAGTCTCAGAGGCACTAAGCAGACTTTCTTAAAAGCAGTGGCTAAAAATCACATTGTCGCACTTTAATCAAAAGAAAAGTGTCGCTATTTGTTGAACTTTAGCTATCTCGTCAAATTTAGAAAGTGGATTTTGAAACTTATAGTAGCTGGGACAGTTGCTTAAAATTTTACCAGTCAGTTTCTCAAAATAGAGACTCCCGAAACTATAGAGCAGAAAGTGGTGGGGGTAATTCTGATTAAAATGAAATACATAAGAACTAATTATTGACTTCTTTCATCTGATTTTGTTCCTGCAGGTCATCACTAATTAATTCTCCTGTTGAGAAGCTTTCCACTGAAAATGTCATCATTAATTTAAATACTGAAGCAACTTCAAACTTAAGTTGGGACGGTTCTAGAAACAAGGTTTGTCTTCTACATTTCTCTTTCTTCTGTAGAAATTCCCTTCCATTATAATCTAATAATATGCTGTATATTTTTTATACTCTAATTATTGATTTTAATAGAGTAAGATTAATGCTTAATCATAATTAGGCTCATCAAAATTTCTTGTTTTACTAATTTTACCTTCTATTTTTATAGTATTTTTTTTGGATATTTACATTGTTGCCAAACCATTACTGAATTGACTGTTCTTGTTTGATTGGAGCATCCTGCGATAACCTTTTAATTGCTGTACATTCCATTGCTATTGTGTATTTCCACAGACTGGAACAGTTAGAGAAGTAGAGCCCTCGAGGGTCGGTGACCAGAATTTTGATATTGGTGAATTTTCTGAGAGATTTCTTCGTTGGGTTGACAATGGAGGAGCTCTTTGCTATTGATCTTTAATTTGCCTCTGATTATAATTATACCATACACTTTGCAGTAGTTATTAGCTTCATGGAGGCGGCCTCAGAAAGAAACACATCAACCTAACATTTAAGGAGCTACTGAAAATGCAAGAAATTAACAGTGAGAGCAACGCAAGGACCTCTCTACCTTTCCCCCTAAGTTTAAATTTCATATATATATTTTTTTCTTAGTTTCAATGTCCATGCAATAGATGCCATTCTTTCCATATTTAGCTGTCATAATAAGAGATTTACCATATTTCTCATAGTGTATATAAATATATTAACTTCTTTCAATATTTTTTGTAAAATCAGCATAAATCTATTCATTTCTTCATCCATTTTTGATCCATTGACCTTGGCATCTGCAAGTAAGAGCATTTTTATCTCCTGGTACTAAATTTCAATTCTATCTTCTTGTTTGATTGGAGTTATTTTAATTTCGTCTGCTTTAGTTTTCCTCTATATCATTTTATCAGTCACTTTGATGAAGTTTCTTACTACCTTCCAGTTTTATGAAAGTCATTACCACATGGCATTCTTTATTCAGTATCAGTCATTGATGTTACTGTTATGGGTGGGGATGGCTGCAACATTATATAAAAGTGATTATGAAACTGTGATGGGAAAATTTGTTTTTTGAAAAGTTGTTTTGGGTACAATACTTTTTGGAAAGTTGAATAGCATATTTCTTAGAGTTACCACACATTATTAGTTTTTGTTGCAAAAATCAGTTTTCTATCATAAAAAATTCTGCGGTTTTAAAATAAAGTTGTCAGAAAGCTGTCCCAAACAAGCTTTTAGTAAACGTTAGGAAATCAATGGTGTGAAACATTGCAATTCTGCCAAACTTAGGAATTGACTTAAATTTTTTTTATTAGTTAGCAAACTATAGATCTAGAACCAAGCTGACTAGTTCAATGAAATCAAGGGTAGTTCCCTTGACTTGGTTTTTTATGCTTATCTAGATGGTCAAAATATTATTCTTTATATTAAAGTAGTTGTCAATTTTATTGTAAACAGTTGGCAGAGTTTTTAGTCCATAAAATTGTTACATTATATATATATATATATATATATAACAATTTTATAATGTAACAATTTATTGTAATGCTTTTAGTTCATTTTGAGCAAGTTATTCATTGTAGCAAAAATAGGATTGATTCATGTTGTTAATTTTACCAAATTTAGAAACTGATGATAATGTTTAGTTCCAATTACTATAATCAATATATATATTTTTAATGTAATCATATATAGTTTTAGGTTTTAATGTTTGTTAAGGTTTTATGGATTTGATGAGCTTTGGATAGGAGAAAAAAACTTAATATGTTGACTAATGCATCATAAATAAAAATAATAAGATAATGTGATAAATTTATTATGGGTTTGTTTGATTGTTTGAAAAATGAATGTAATGTAAAAAGAATACTTTGAAGCTGTTTGTATAAATGTAGGATTTTTTTTTTTTTTTGGGTTTGAAGAAAAGTGTGCTATGTAAATTGTAAGAATGTTGTGATCGGGGTGGTCGGTGTTTGATGGTGGGAGTTAGGGTTTAGGGTTTATTTTGCATTCATTTTTCTTCCAATGAAACAATCTTTAATGTAGAAAGAATAATTTAGAAGAAAAGATAGATTTAAAATAAAAAATATATAAAAGATCTTCAAAATGATTTATAAAGAATAGATTTAATTGAGCTTTTAATTTTAATCAAGCATTTGCCTCACCACGTGGGGTTAGCTATATGAATTCTTTTTCTTCGTTGTGTCATGTTAAAAGTTAAATTCTAGTTTAAATTTAATAAAGAATGATCATTTCTAATATTTTATAATCAAGTCTTTTTAAGACTATCTCTAACTTCTTGAAAAAAGTCAAATCTAATCCATCTACTTTCCTAATTGGGTTATTAGAAAGGTCATTGTTTTATGTGATCAAATCATCTAAAACGACTCTCTCTAATCTAATCTTCCATTGGAGCTATTCAAACTTCTTCACGTATATGTTCATTTCGTATTCTGTCTCTAAGCGTAAATTCACACATCGATGGAAACATCCTCATTTTTGCAACACTTATCTTAATATTATGATATTTCTTTTAGATTAAAAAAACCAAAAATTAAATTTGTATTCCAATAAATTTATAATCGAAATGGGATGAATTCAAGGATTTCAAAGTCATGCATATAACCATGCATAAGATAGAGGAGGATGGCTTTTGTATTGCTTCTTAAAGCAGTTTTTTAGTAAAAAAAAGTAAATGAAGCCTAAGTAGGACATTAAAATATTTATGAATGATTTAAAAAAAAAAAAGAATTTTAGCACTATTTTTAATTTGTCTTGAGCATAAGGCTCTGGTTTAAAAAAATGTTAAAAAAAAAAAGTTTTAAATTGAGAGAAATGTTAATTCATGATTATGGAAACCATTATTTTGGGTGCAAGATTATGAGAGAAGAGAGAGAGAGATGAGAGGGAGGAGGGATGATGAATGTGGTTGTGTTAAATCAAGGATGATGTAGCTTGTCAGCCCTAAATAGGGGGTAAGTGAGCGAGGTCGGGGTCGTGAGCTCGGCTCAAATTCGACTCGTTAACGGAGCTCGGCGAGCCTAGCTTATGAGCTTCAGAGTGCGAAGCTAGCTTATCGAGCTTCGAAGGCTCGAGCCTATCATGAGATCGTATCATAAAGAACTTGAGTTGAGCTCAAACCGATCACTTGAAAGCATTATAAGCTTCGTATATATATATTAATTATAGTTATGTATATATACATTATAGTATATTATTATAGTAATTATTTTTAAATATTTGGACAGCTTATTTTTTTATAAATATCAAGCGAGCTTGAGCTAAATATTTTTAAACGAGTGATCTCCGAGTTGAGTCATAGTATAAAACGAGCCAGGTTTGATAGATAAATACTCGACTCGAACTGTTTTACACCTAGCCCAATTTGTTTAGAGGTGATTGTAGCTTTTATTAAAGGTAGGTATTTATAAAAAAATGTATAAACGACGGGTTAGGGTGTCAATTTCGGTAGGGTTCGGTGTTCGGGTCAGACCGGACTGACCCGGTTCAAACGGGTGAACTTACAAGCCGAACGGTTAGGAAAACGGGTCGAAATCCCGAACCGCGCCCGGCGGGTTGTGGGGTTGACCCGACCGGACATGACCCGAGTCGCCTCACGAGAAGCGGCAGCAAGCGCATTCAGAGCGAGCGCGGGCGGGCAGAGCGCGCGAAGGGGCGGGGACGGGTGGGCGGCGAGGGTGGCGGGAACGCGGTGGGCTGGCTGCGACTCGGATGCGTGTTTCGGGTCAAACGGGTTGACCCCGGCAACCGTCGGTTCAACCGAACCGACCCGTTTTTTCGAACGGGTCGATTAAGGAAGCGAATCCGACACGTTTTTGAAATCGGGTGGGTCCAAGCCCGGATTTTTCGGGTCGGTGTTTCGTGTGTGTAAATATTGACACCCTAGAAGCGGTTATGCTCCTTTGTTTAGAGAAAAATATATATTTGAATTTAATCAAGACTGAAAACAGTTAGCTCAGTAACTATAATTTAGAATTTTAAGTTTTATTTGATTTTAAATAAATTGTAGAATTTGCATTCCTGTATAAGCAATTTAGCGAATTTATTCATTACCATTAAATATAATTAGATCATATATTCAAAATTTTGTGATTATAGCTAAAGCACTCAATCAATAGTCCAAGATTGAGATAGTAACTCTTGTTTCCAATTATTCGATCGTCTTCTTCCCCAATCGCTTACCGCAAAAATTCTATTGAGCTAGAATTCTTCCCATTCGCAAGTGTTAATATTTTGTTTGGGACGACTTTTTAATTATTTCTTAAAAAAAAATTAGTATAAAATTTTTGAATTTTTATTTAAAATTCTATTTTTTTTTGGGAAAATTTAAAAAATTTTTTGGGAAAATATAAAATTCTATTTTAAAAAGCAATAAAAAAATTATCCCAATCGAAGCCTAAGTTTTCATTTGAGATAATTTTTTTATTATATTTTAAGATAGTTTTTTAGCATAAAACCTTTTTAATTCAAAATATTCTTTTACTGAAAAAAACTGTTTTATATATATATATAAAATTTCGCACCAAATGAAGCCTAAATCACCTTTGGAAAGTCTTGACAAGCAAATGCATCACTTGACAGGGTTCTCTTCTTTTTTAGTGCTGTGAAGAAATATTTGACCATCTAAATTCCTTAAAGCCGCTGTTACTTTTAGAAGAAATGAAATTGTGATTGATTCGGGCATTTTTTTTTTTATCTCCGCAAAAATTGTTCATCCTGTTACAAATGTACGTCAAGATTGCGGCGAATTATTACGTTCGGTTACCGGATGTCTGGACATCCAATCCAAACATGTCATGTCACCCAAATACACTGGGTCTCAGTGTATTTTGGTGACGTGACGTGTCTAGATTGGTGTCCGGACGAATCCGGACACCGGACGTAATAATTTGCAAAACATTGCAGATGTGTCGATGCGCCACAGCATCCAATATACAGTTATACACTGCATTAGTGATGTGGTAAGTCTATATTGACTTCATGATGCGTCTGAACTCCACACATAATAATATGTCCTTTTTAGTGAGGGTAAAAGATGAAGATTTTATTTTGGACTTTCATCAAAGTTTTGCGCACAATCAAGAGTGAGAGTTAATGGGTTATTTTAAAATTTTAATTAAAGATCAACAAATTAATATGCAATGAAAAATAATTATAGTTTTGAACAACAATAATGAAAAAAATACTAATAGAATTTTTTAGTGCTATAAAATACAAAAGGTTAATTTAAAAGTAATTAAAATGAATTGACTAATAGAAAAATTTACGAAAAATTTGTTTAGATTAATTTTTTAAAGCAATCACAATATGATCATGTAACAAATCTTAGAAAATTAAGCTTGCAGGAAATAAAATGCAGAAAAGTAAAAGAAAGGTAAATCACGTTTTTTATAATTGTTCGGTTGAGATCGACCTACGTTCACTGCCTAAAAGTCTTCCTCTCTTAAAATTTCCCACTCGTAAATGTTAGTATTTGGGACATTTAGGCAAATTAAAGTAGACACATACTGACACACATATCATATATGTAAGCTTTAAACTCAAAATCTCTTAGGTGGTAGTCAAAGCTCTCAATTATAGACCAAAGTGAATTTTGTAAGTATTTTAGTTATGCTATCAATTGGGAAAATTATTACGTCCGGTGCCCGGATTCGTCCGGACACCAATCCAGACACACCACGTCAATCAGATACATCCAGGGTCCAGTGTATCCGGGTGATGTGGCATGTCTGGATTGGTGTCCGGATGGTCCGATCATCAGACGTAATAATTCGCCTATGAATTGACATCCTACAACCTATTATCAG